ACTTTAAGTCCTGGTAGGACCGAACCTGAAACAATTCAGTCCTGGACTTTTTGGGACTCATTCCCAAAAGACTGGTTAACATTTTTTTTTAACAATGGTGACAATTTTTGATGAAATTAAAAACCAACTCAACAATGCACTTGAAGAGCATAGAAAAGGCTGATGAAGAGTTGAGGCAGTGGAGGGGGAAGTGGGAAGAGAAGTTGAACAATCTGAAGAGGGGAAGAGAGAAGGAGGAATATGGAGGCGAGAATGAGGAGTTGGAGAAAAAAGAAGAGGAATTGGAGAAGGAGAAGAAGGATTGGAGAGGGCAAGTGCGATACTTGCAAAAAAAATTCACTGAATTCAAAGAAAAAGGTAATGAACAAATTGTGTAAAAAAATTTATTTTTATTCATTCCATTTCATTTATTTAAAATAAAAGCTAATAACACAGTAAAGATAACGTAAATTGATTACTTACTCATGCATTTTTATTACTTTCTGTCTGATATTATCAACAATTTTTAGGAATAAATAGTATGAAGAAAAAAAACATTTTATCAGATCTTGTTAAATCATTCTGTGACTTGAATAATTTTAAATTGCCAAGTGACCCAAAAGTTCTAGAAACTATTCTTCTCCAACCATTTTGTATAAAGATCCCTATTGAATCTGAAGTATATGAGCAATGGAAAAGGGAAATAATTGACATCAATATTGATGATTATTTTGTTAATGGTGATCTATCAGGTTCTACAGCAGCTGAATTTAGTGCAGAGTGTGTACATGCTCTTTCTAGAAGAATGGAAGGTTCAGAATTTCGTCTTATCAGCAAATTTGATAATATTGTTATCAATATTTGGGAAACTTTAAAGACATATCAATCTTTAGCTATTGACATTAACCGAAATGTTAAAGATCCATCAGGGATTACAATTGATTCTTTACAACCAGATGTACTTGTATGGGTTCAAGATGCATTGGTTTTCAAAGCAGAAAAAAAGAAGGATGGTAATTTTAGTGTAGTAATGGAGGAATTAAGGGATAAAATGAAGGATTGGAATTTGGTATCATGTGGAAATCTTCCTTATATTCTCTCATATGGTGCAGTAAAGGAAAATCTTCAATTCTTTGCCATTACTAAAGATTCCAATTTGATGTCAATTTCACCTCGCTATAATATTTCTACATTTGCTGGTGGTTAAGATAATTGTGTAATAGTGGATATTGATTTCAAGGATACAGAATATTGCTGATTTAACATTCATCAAATCCTTTAGGTTTTAATATCAACTCCGAACATGTTTAAATGTTTTCTTGCAGCAGCAACCCTACTTCCAGAAGTTCCATTTCCCTTCTTAAAAACTTTTGATAGACAAAGTGGTGCATCTATTACATTTGTCTCAAGTGATCATATCCAAAAAAAAATAAAGAATTTTGAAGATTATATTTACAGTGACATAGAAACTTTACAAGAAGTTTATAAAATAATATTCTTTAGAAAAATGCAAGTTTTTAAAAAAGTTTTTTTGTCTGGTGCAAATTAAAACGAAAAAAATTAAAATTTATATATTTTTAATGTTTGTTTATTATGTAAAAAATACCTTGAATCTGGCAATGCCCAATATAAAAGTCAAAAAAATTAATAAGCTATAACAAATTTTTTTTATATTTATAAAATATTCAAGTTTATATCTATTGTATGACATAACAATTATCCATATAAAATCTTTTTTTGGCAACTTGGATGTAGTGTAATGTTTGTCAATTGAACAACTTTTTGTCAATTTTACTATGATCATTATCTCTGCAGATCATTATTAGTTTTCTACACATGATTGGTGAAACACGAATTAAGTATTCTTTCTTTTTTAATGATGAAAAAAATAGTTATTATATAGAAAAGAACTAGTGTTCCATGTCGCAATCCAAAAAAGGAAACCAAAGTGGTCACAAAGGTGGTTGCAACCATCACCAAGAATTGCGACCAGCATCTATAAAAAGAACACAGATG